CTGTATCATTTATTTAAATACAGTAGCTATGATATAGCTATGGAACTAAGACTACTACCTTTACTCAGCAATGGTAGATTTTCTTGCTTTAGAGAAAAAAAGAAGAGGTCTAAATGTTGCAAATTTTCAACAATATGCTGCAACCTAACTTAATCCAACACAGTAACGTACAAGAATAAACCAAAACAACCACACCAAAGCCTAAAACCCAACACTTCTCACACAATTTTGAAGCTGGGGCATCATGTTTATCAATGAAATAAACACATAAGAACCCCTAATCTGAAAGATTAAAAAGGTGACACCAATCACAGCTAGTAATGGCAAATTTAAAAAATTCTTAAGCTCAGTATTTTATTGTTATGTCTAGTTTAAGTTGTATCCTCCCATTCAACATTTTTCCCCTTTGTTACATTAATATTAATTATAAATTTATTTATTCTATATCCTTAACTCAACAATTTGTCCATGTTTGTGTATTTAGGAGACATAAAGCACTGCAAATATTTGAGATAAAAAAGGGAAGAAGTGGTAGAAATTTTCCTCCATATTCAGACTCAAAAAAGTAGTCTTATTTTATAATCCAAACAGATATTAAATCTAAAACACAGATTCCCTTTTAATTTTTTCCAAACATTGTGAATATATAATTATTAGGTTGATGTTGTATTAATATTTTAATCAAGAAATCAAAGGTAACATTGTCTGATACCTCCACTTGTAGAGAATTTGGTTTGACTGTTGCTATGCGCACTTCCTGAGTCTCATGCCTCACAATCAGCGTTCGAGGACAGGAGACTACATCCCGTGCATCACAATGGTAATTATCAATGTAGACACCAAAGTTGTCAACTGTCTTATTAATCTCTTCCACAAGGACGTATGTACAATTCCCTTGATAGCTGTAGTATAGTCCATCAAAAGTCAAGTAATGTGGGTCTCCCCAGCCAGTGCAGTAGCCTACAAAAGCATACAGCTAGATTAGCTTCTTATGTCAACACACAGAACCAGATCAGATGGCAAACAAAATCTGCAGGTGTAGGATTCATCTCATCTAACTTTAAACATTCAAATTTTTAAAGTGTATACGTCAATGCATAAGCTCATTATCTACAACTCATTGACAATAGAGAAAAATAGGCATTTTCAGGTAACAGTTTACCTATTTTATTTCTGATAGACAACTGAGAACCATTACTGATAGTCTGAACAAGTAACTTATATGTAGGCTTCTAGCCACTAGATGTCTGCATCTGGACCTTTAAATCCTGCCTTGACAGACCAATTTATTCCACTAGCACAACAGTTAGGTAGAAATGATTGCAAATTAAGTAAAATCCCATGATTAGCTAAAAAGAATCACTGAAGCACTCCAAGTGAGTGTTGGGGGTCACAGCATTGTGTGACACTTGTCCCCTAATAAATAATTTTTCTCCTGACATTAGTATTGTTCCCACAGCTGATAAAATATTCAATAAAATATATACTTACAATCACACTCCCAGTGCCAACAGCATCCATCTGCATCAATGACTTGCACAGGAGAAAGCCCATTGGAACATGTAGGTTTAGGAGGTGGATTACAGATTATAGGAATCACCTGGACTATATTGTCTTCTATACATATTGCTTTAGTGCAGTTACAGAGCCACCATGACTCTCCGGGCTGTGTTTGGAAAGAGAGAGGGAGGGGAAAAAGAGAGACACCTTATGAGTCAGACTGACAACAGTTATGTCTGAATATCTTTTGCAGAATTTTAAAATGCTGTACATTTATTGGCAATTTTTTCCCCAACAGAAGTCTGAAAATAGGAAGGAATGGCAGCAGTCAGCACCATCAAGGCCTGCAAGATGAGCTACCATTACTAAGAACTGCTAAGTGAAAAGCATTACTTACAAAAGTCAAGCCAGTAACCTGAAGAGGGAATTGCCTTTTTTTGGTTTTAGCTATCTAAAACCTATCTAGCTATCTAGATCAGGTGTCTGATCTAACCTCATCACATGGATGATTAATCCTCTTCCATTAATGACCAGAACATTAACAGCTAAAGCTATAGTGGACACCATCTATTTGGTGAGTAATGTTTAAGGTGATTATGTGCCTGCATTGTGATTGTATGCATTTTTTCTATCTCCCACTAGTTTTTCAGACATACATCATTTTTAACCATGCAGATCTACTGAGCAAGTTAGTAGACATCTAAGCTGTGTGGAGGCTTTAGAAATGTACAAGGCATTAGCTTGTCTGTGTCAGAGGTGGAGGGTTCCTAAAACCTCAGAACTCTCAGTCAAGAGCATTTGAAAATGGTGGGCTGTTTCACAGTCTTCTCCTGAAAACATACTATGACCAAGTACAACCCATTCCAAACTCAGATTAATTAAGCACTGTGGTTTCTTGTTGAGCTGCACTGTAAACACATAAACTTTCCCCATCCTGGAACTATTCAAAAGCAGAAAGAGAAAAGATAGTTTAACTCCTCTTAGCTCTTGATTAACACTTCCTCAAAGCTATCCTACAAGAGAAACATTGATCTGTGATCTAAGTCCTTGAAGAAGGCCTTTTACAAACAATCTAACTAGGATACTAATAGTAGTATTTAAGATATCAAATAATATCATTGGAAGTCATGCTGATATCCAAGTAAAGAGAAAGAAAAAGATGGACTGATATTTCCTTTTTTATCTGGATTAAGACCTACACTGGATAATACTAACACTGAAATTAAGAGTCTAGTCTTCATCCGAAGAAGGAGGATAAAAAAACCTGCTCACCACATAAGATTCATTAGGCAAAATAGAACAGTTTCTTCCAGGAGTGGTTGGTGGTGAACTTGTAGTTGAACTCAAAGAAGGGGGTGGAGTAACTGCTGTATGCGTAGAACTTCCTGCAGTGGTGAATGCACTTGATGTTGCTGTAGGCTCAGAAGCAGTAGGTGAGCCAGTGGAAACACTTTCAGATGTGGTGGTGGTGGTAGTTGCAGTGGTAGGGGTAAAATTACTAAAGGTTGTTCCTGAAGTGGTGGTAAAAGATTCTGTTGGAGTTGTACCAGAGGTGGTGATTGGCACAGAGCTGGCTGATACTGATGTCAGAGATGGAGTAGTGCTCACAGTAGACTCAAGGAAGGGTGTGGAGCGCCAAGTAATGGTGGCAGTGACAGCAGTTGAACTTGTCGGAGTACTGAGGGTTGTAGTGGTTGTCATTGGGCTACCAGTTTCCGTTACTATTGTGGTGCTGTGGGGAGTGGGT